GTGGAGAGAAACAATTTATTATAAGATACATTGTAATGAATATTTACATACAGTGATGTTCTATACTTTTGATTACATTTCGAGCAAAGTTACTGCCTATGACTGCAACAATTGTTCGAACTGTTTGTTCACATATTTAGTGTTTTTCTATTTTGTACATTTGTCATCTTTTATCCAGGACTAGGCTCCACGTTGACAGTTTTGCTGAATCACCTTTGTTGCATTTGCTAAGTGTGACTTGTCTGAATACGGATTCAGCCATCAATGTTTCTTTCCATCTATTCATATCGGAGATACCAACATGTCCCAAAGATTACTATATTTTCTATCCCACATATACGCTCCTGTCGATGAAATTTTTATATTCCTGTATCCCTGTTGGTCGACCTTTAGTTAATTGTTGATGTTGTTTCATTTTTACGCATTATGATGTGTTGTGGACAGGGTACGTGAAGATGACTTTGTTCTCCAAATACATGCAACAATGAGCACAAGACTTTGCACTTATTATTCGGAGTGACTTTAAAGGCCACCCTAACAACTAGCGAAATAACCATTAACGGCTCTCCATTTAGGGTTCTCTAACTTCTGAGACAAAATACTGAAATCTAACTGGATATTTCAGCAGTTGCTATACTGGCCTTTAAAGTCACTGCTACTATAAACGAGATAAAACACATGCAACGTCACATCTAAATGTGAGCCTCAACAAATTGTTCCCAATACAGTATGACTACTGTTAAGTAGTTTAAATTTCCTGAAGTATTTCAGTAAGACTTTACTACAGTAAACGGGTTTGTGCCAATAAATAATCTTGTGATATATTTTTGAGATGAATGGGGATTTTTAATTAAGAGGTAGTATTCATCACGGACTGCCTACGCTCGATACTGACACTGGTGATCAGATGGATGACCAGAATAATAAGAATAAGCAACAAGGAACTCTCGTGTGGCAACCAACCAACAACCAACCAACCAATCAACCAACCAACCAACCAACAAATATGAAGAAGACGAAATTGGAGATGGATTGGATGAGATTGGGGATAGACTGAGAAGGCCGATTGAGGAGATCAGGCATCTGACGAGACGAGGCCCTTGAGTGGAATCCAAAGGGAAACGAGGAGTTGGGTGTCCGAGGTGATGGTGACGTGTAGGAGGTTGTATGAGGAAGAAATGAAAGGTTGTGGACAGTGTTGGAGCGAGGTTGAAAAAACTGCAGAGAGCAGAGTGGAATGGAGGCGTGCTACTGAATCCCTATGTTCCACTAGGAACCAAAAGACAAATAAAAACTCATCACGGACTGACGTCAGCTGAGGAACTATTGAAAACATGGGAGCACTGGACAGCTGTTTCTTCCCAGTATGGAATTCCTCGAGAGTATGTACTCACGACCCGGCCAGGAATCAAACTCTGTCCGTGATGAATACTACCTCTAAAATAAAAACCCCCATTCATCTCGAAAATACATTACTGTATAGTGCTCATTAGTGACGTGCTCCCAGATGGATATCACGCGACTCTAATGAGAAGCCCTGAACAGTCAACTAGTCGGAAGGGAAGCGGATGCTAACTGAAGACCCCCAGGTGATAGTCGCACTATATCGTGAAGTGACAGAAGTTGGAGACTGTGAACCGCTACAAACCGACCGGGTGGCTGGATGGTTACCGCGTTTGCTGTGAAAACTGAAGGTTCTGAGCTCTATGGCTAGCTGAGTCATATGTGCGTACAACTGAGGAGTCCCATACCAGGACGAAACAGCTGTCCGGTGCTCCTAAGTTTTCAGTGGTTCCCCAACAGATGTCAGTCCGTGATGAAGATTACCTCTAAATCCCGTGATATGTTCACAAACATTCTAGTTCAGCTAATATATTTGCAAAATCTAATAATCATAGATTAACCGTTGAGTTTTACCACGTTTCGAAATTCACTTAAACAATGTCATAACAATGACAATCAATTTGACATGCAACTAACTTGGCTGTGGCTAACAGGGGAATCTAGGAGGTGCGTTTCGTCCTATACGATACTCGTTAGCCGGATGTACCTAGTGAGTGATGCTGTGCCCACTGAGGTTTGATTTCTCTGGATTCGTCACTAGGCTCTACTTCTAGCCACAACCAAGTCAGTTATAGAAATAAATATTCAGACAATATCGAGGCACCTACATATGACCCCATCTGCTAACAGACCTCGATCAGCTCAGTTCAATATAACAACGGAGGATTAAAATTATCAACAAATAACATGTTTCTGCTTGTATCATCAATATAAAATTGAAACAGGCAATATCAAGGCATCCTCAGAGAAATACATATTCCAATACAGACAAATCAATCCAGTCCACATAACGACGGGGTAATACAAGCACCAACAGAAGCAGCTATCCTGACTCGGTGGTCTAGTGGATAACGCCATGACTCTCGAAATAATCGATCGCGGGTTCAAGTCACAGTGAGAACAACATCGCTAACTAAAAGGCAGGTACATTCACTTGATGAGTCCCAAATAGAACGAAACACAAGCCCTGGATGACACCACTAGTCAATGCCCAACACCTAGAAATATACTTCAAGGTTCCTTAAAACTTACATTTAGACAAATCTGAGCGAATAAGAAGTTAATTTGAGTCGATGAACCAAGATCCAGTGTCCAACCTCTCTCTCTCTCTCTCTTCATCTAAATATAGTGACCTGTAACACAGTTGCTCTATCCTGCCCTATTCTCTGATTGTATGCCAGAAAACTCGTTGTAACTATGTTAAACCACTAGGGGAATTGCACTATTATCAATTATCTGGTATCCTATAATGATGCTTTCGTAATTATCTAAGAGAGAGTCATTACTAAGAACTTTGAAAAGCAGTGGATATTGAAAATGCATCTACAGCTGGCGTAAAAAGTTTTTTTCACTGCTATTCACATCGGTCATCGTTATGACGAGAATATTTTATTACTATTATCATTATTATTATTTCTCGGTTACCTTCATCGTTAGATAACTGACTAGTGGATTTCCTAATCCCATTTGAAATCGGTTAGTAGGTTTCAGTTAAATTAGTCTTTTGCTTAATGTGTGAACTGACTACTGGGCTTAATAAGGTTTTCCAATGTGCCTCGAAGAACCCTGTTCTGAACTATTCATATCCTTATAGTAAAATGGATGACCATAAATGTTCACATACACTGATGTAACAGACAATGCATAATTTAGATCTACTGGAAGAAATCGAAATTCAGTAGAAGACTAAAGTATTAAAATTTTGAAGTCGACACAAGTTTCATCTTCAAATACGGTACTACAAACAATAGTTAACAATAAATAGTAATAAAGTATAACCTTTGTAAGTACAAGTGCTCAGATGCTGGTTGAAGCGCAGAACACACTACCAGTTTACTACTAAAAAGGATAAACATCATGAGGCTGATTAAAGGTTATTATTAAGATGAAACAACCATCGAAGCTACAGGTAGAGTAAATGACTTAAGGTGGACAAAGGTTCTGGAAATTTGAAGAAAGTGACGTTAAGTGGATTGGAAAAGAGGTAGTACGGCTTAAAGTAGGAGACAGTGAACCAATGTACCGAAAAGGAATCGAAAACAGATGTGATAAAAGTTTGTTTGCGCAGTCATTCATACTCAAACAGATATATAAACCGAAAATGCATTTGTGAGCAGTAATTTTACTGGGTAATAATTAGTATAAATTGTGAAATAATATTTAAGGGAGGAGAATGCAGACATAAGGTCGGTTTATAAAAGGGGAAGTAGGCAAACTGTTTTAAGAGATAACTGCTGTTCGCACACATGAGAGCAAGAAAAAATGCGCCCATATGACTGTGAAAATAACGAATGCTGTGATTTTGGCAATTTATGGAAAATATTATTTCTCAAATTTTATACAGTCCTGTAATGGCTTCGTATCTGTGGTTAAATAATGAGACTGTTTTCTGCAAGGGACTGAATATATACCAAGTTAAGTTTGTTGTGTAACGCTTTTTAAAAGCTGATCTAGTATTCCGTGCCTCGAGAAATGTGTTAGAATTTAGTGAGAAGTTGGATAGAGAATGTATCAGAAAACAGTCCTTCCTACAGTCTAGGGAGTTATCATATTGCTTATCATGAATAGCACTAAGAGACGTAGGATATGCTGGTAGCTAGCTAACTACATTTATTACAAAAACTAGCACAAGAAGGTTAAAATCCATCAACACTTTGAGCCATAGACATGGGTCAGTAATCTGTAATTAGAGTAGTATGAAACAGCGACATATAAGGTTGTCTCATTACCGTTTCAGCTGACCATCATTCATCACTCAGACTCTCACCAACCAACCAGAAAGTGGTGCAGACATTTACAACAAACTATAACTGTAGTTAATATGGGTTTAACATACTTTAACTATGAGGAAACTGTTTTGGTGGGTTACTTCTGAAGGTACGCGCGTAATGGTACATCATCGTCACTACAATGCAACAACCTGGCATTTCCATTCAATCTTTTTTAGTTGTACAGTGACATATTATTTCATTCGACTACTATTTTTGTGATTGTATACTTACACTACCCTACATGTAACCGATTTTTTTTCGCAGTACTGAAATAACGATAAATAGACACGATTTCCCAACCAGAATTACTTACTTTCTTAAACTGACCTAAACGTCCACAGTAAAGCAAATAAAGCACTTCAAACCGAAAAAAAGCAGATAATCACTTGTAGAAATGCCTGAATACTTCAACTGATGAGAAATTTGATCAATTCTACATACTGTGAATCTAAATTCTTACAAGATAAATGAATAAATAACGAACGTAGTAGTGAGGAAATTTCGTAGTTGTTAGTAATAACTACCATAGGCATACATCGTTTACAATTGATCTTTGTGAACTCATAGAAGTGATATAGAACTGAGTGAGTCAACTATAGTGGATACAGTAAATTGTATCAGCCTGACTTGTCCTTCGATCAACCCAACAACTAAGAAAAACCCCTTCACTATCCACTGACTATATTTGAATTGTAACACCTTCGATATGTGATCAGTAGAAAAATATACGAAAAATCCCTATAGTAAAAAGTACAAATGACAACCAATTGCACTCCTTCATCAAAAAACACAACACAATATCCCTTTCAAAATATCTCAGTAGTGTGATTGTTAACGAAAAAAACCCAGCGAAAATTAAAAACATTAGACCAGCGAATTAGAGCAAGAGAAAATTATTTCCAAAAATAATATTACAAATCTAGCCCGATAAACGGAGGGATATATGCAAAAGACAAAAACGATCAAAATTTATAGAAAAATAGCAGAAAAGTAACTAAAATCAAAAATTGCAATTTCTATACAAACGAAAATATGTGTTCCAATTAAATAAAAAGCAAAGAGAAGTTTAGAGTAGAATTCTGCGTGTATACAGTCAACATTTGGTCGAGGTAAAAGTTTCATTGGTGTATGGACAATGGGAATTCCAATGTGCTTGGAATTCAATTTTATCTGTTGAATGAAATTCACACAATGGACACTTCCGTACTCGACAAATTAGATCCGATCTGCTGGCCTCCTAACAGAAAACAATAGCAATAACAATAGGGGTAAACATTAACATTTCAAATATGATGACACTAAAAGATGCAACACAAAATATTCATACATTTAGTTCCCTTGACAAATTTCTATAATGCAAGAAAAAAGACATTCGCAGAATAAAATGAGCTTATTTACATTTCACGGTCTTTCATCAGCTGCAAACACCCAACAATAGGAATAAAGTATTCGTAGTAAGAATGACACAATATAATTTAAATGTGTAGAAATAAGTGAAGATTTGAAATCCAGGATTAACAAATAAGGTAGTAAGTCAAGGAAACAGGATTAATAATCACAGTTGTAAGCTGTTTGCAGCTTATGAAAGGCCGTGAGATAAAATGAGCTCGTTTTATTCGCCAAATGTCTTTGTTCTTACATTGTACAAGACATTCAGTAGTCGATACACCAAGCATCATTCTCAATTTAAATAAATAACAAAACCAAAACGCAACGCAACCGCCATATTCAAACGAATTCATCATCACATCAATTTTGAAGTAGATGACTGTGTTTAACAGATCATGTCAACTGTGAATACCAGTAATCTATACACTAACAACAATATTCACACTCACGTCCATTGCAGATGGAAACACAAAACAAATACTCACACCTATTATACTGTTAGTGTCAAATAATTGACTCATTAATAAGTGGTACTTCAGTCGTCAAAAACTTTAATCAGTCAGTTAGTCAAGCATAGATCAACAACTTCAGGCAGTCGACTATGCATCCAAATCGATCTTAGCTGGTGAATAATATATTTCCCACATCATGTTGTTAAGCTTGGTCACTACACTGCACTTCATGATCAACGCGATCCCATTTGCAATAAGAAGTAAAACAAACTCAAGTACTGGCTAAAACTCAAATTGCACAGATCATGAGTACACTAAATAACTGGTTGGTCGTACATAGTACACCAGTGAAAGAGTCCTATGCGCAGTGTGACCAGCCTAACAGCAATTCCAGATGTAGGTACAAAATTACATCATGGTTGTTCATCCACCATACATGTTTTTTGCGGGGTAAAATAACTGGAATCACTAGAATAGTAGCACTACTAACAGAATAGTCATCCTATTCATTTATTCCTATCTGTATAAATATTAATCCAGCAGAATCATTTTAAGCAGTAACATATATAGGTAACGTCAGACAAATGAGGACATGAAATACAATCCAAGAGGTTCATCAATCCAGAGGTTCCACACACTTTCAGGGATGCCTCAGAATCTCAACCAGTGACCATCACGATATAGTTCCCCTTTGTCTTGAAACGCAATACGAAAATACTAAAAGCCTTTTCCAGTGCGTCTACTGCGATTGATTCTATTGATCACACCATTCTCCAGTCTCAGAACGCCTTTCTTTCCTATATCTTCACATCCTGGTAATATCACACCTCATGGTGTATTTCTCAACACCTTGGTTGCAACCAGATTCTGTTAGAAGAACATAATGATGGTGATTATAACAAACATGACATACCAATTCACTGATCAACACTTAAATCCGTACAGAATCAACAGGTAACAACAAACATCGAGATGAAAGATACTCATAACATGAACAATGTAAAGTGTACAAAATCCCTTAAACAAACAGGGTAAAGACAGACAAACTGCAGATAAAAAAACACGTCCAACACACACACACACAGACGGTGACAACATTAAGTGTATCCTGCACCAACAGTAAAACATAACTGTTCGAAAATATTATTATTTCATATCACATCTGTTGCCGAAAAATTGGCATTGTTTTCGTTGCTACCAATTCACTTACACTACAACTTAATTTATTCGAAAATTGATTTACTAAATAACAGATTATTTACAGTACCACGACACCATTAAATTGGCCACAAATACTGATTAGTTTAAGATGATGAGTTTTTATCGATCAAGCCACCAAACAATTTCTTCGCGCTCGGTTTCTTTTCGTGATCTCAACTTTAGTGGCTGAGACAAGGAACAAGTTGACGTAAGCCGACACCACTACAGCACAACAGTCCAAAACATGTCAGTAACGCCAATAAACTGGGTATTATGCACATATCAGTATCAAAGAACAATGAATAGAAGATATAAATGTCTAAATACTCACCCCATCGTCCTTCGACTGGCTGCATCGATCACCAACAGAATCAACATCTTCCCCTGAACCACCATCCACACACTTAATTTCATGATCAACACTCCTACTCTTATCTACACATTCACCATCGTCCTCAACTATAACTAAACCACAAGATTCTGTCTCATCACATTCAACGATATCACTGACTTCAGTATCATTGCGTGACCTGCATGGACGTGTATTGTCATCCATAGACGTTGATGCACCCAAATTAGAATCTCGATTTCCCATACCCCTTCCGGAAACTGCTGATGCATCCAAAATACTCCCACTCCCATCTCTCAAATTACCTCCAAACGATAAACAATCTTTACTGTCATAATCAGATAAGCGAACTCTCTCGTATCCCAGCTTCGCACAACTCTTTGGTGGTGTCGGAGGATGATCAACTCCAACACCTGGAAATCCATTCTGGGGAAAGTAACTATACAATATATCCTCTTCTGGAGGTGGGTGATATCTCACTATCCTCAGCAACGCCTCGTTCTGCAAGTGAGAAACATGACGACCCAATGGACACCGACGCATATGTTTCGCCACATCCCATTTCCACTTAGCCCGATAATGGCAGTAGCAACAACCAAACATACGGTGCTCAGAATGATTCACCATATGCGCACGTAACTCACTGAACCACCGGGCACCAAATTTACACACAGGACAGATAATCACAGCCTCCGATCCATCGCATTTCTTCATCCCTTCCAGACCTGTGAACGACACTTCTTGTCCAGCTCCACTCAACGACATTTCTTTGTGATTCCCATCAGCATAGTCTGATTCGCATGAAGAAGCTAACTCATTATCCCTTCTACCCCATGTATCAGCATCCAAACACCTCTCGCTATCTCTCTCATCAGTCTTCGAAATTCCCATTGCAGTAACACCACAATCACTCGATGATCCTGCACGATCAACACAATGACCAGGAATGGTGCCATCATGTCCAGCTTGAAATGATTCTACAGGATAACAGCGCACCGTTGATTTATCTCCTGTCAATATGCCAACACTACTCAAGTAAGATCGCGATTCATCATCTACCCGTTCTGCTACACACTCCTTATTTCCTCCACATGATTCACCTGGAGCAGGAAAACACAACACATTTGGTTTCATGTCAGCTAGTGTGATCAACAAACTGCCAATAGCCAATAGTAAACTTGAAGATGTTGCAGATAACTCGACACCAGATTCACATGAATCCATCACATTTTCACCAATTTCATTCTCTAGAGTACTCAACGCTGTTTGCAACAAGCCAATCAGCAGAGTGCGACTAATGCGTGGCTCCTTCCTTCTGTTTTTACCGCCATCCTGAGTCGAAGATGCGGCAGGCGCCACTGATACTGTTTCCTCCAGTGACATTTTCACTCCACCACTCCCAGATAAACCACCCGTCCTATTCACATCGAATGAGCCCACAGCAATCCCGCTGGTTCCGGTCGATCCTCGCCCACTTATTACACAGTCAATTTGTGTCCCTGAAGACCTGACAACTGATAAGTCAAGCGGCTCCACTTCATGACACAAAACTTCACCCCCATACATTCCCACACAATTTACATACGACCGATTCGTGCGGTTCGACATCATCTCACCATCCGGAGTGTTCCTGTTAGAATAACAAGATGTCTCAGAACACTTTTCGTTCACATCATTCGAACACTCCTCTCTCACAGATGAAAACACACTATGTCTTCGTTTGCTATCCACATTCACATTCTCACCATTCGGTGACCTCACTCGTTTAACGACACATTCAGATACTCGACCACGCGGTCTCGGTTGAATACTCGGAGAACATGGTACGGCCGATAGCCTTCTACGATTGGCATATAGTCGATCTCGATGATCCACTCCCACAGAAAGATGTCCGGACTTCGATATCTCATTCACATTACGATCTCTCATGGCATTCTCATTCCTTACAGTGACTCCATTCTGCACACTTCCCATTCCTCCAGATAGTGACACAGTCGCACCCGGTGGACGATTCTCACAGTCCTCACTTCCAGTGCTGTAAATTCGTGCTAACGAACCAGAAGTGCCAGCAGAATTGACGTCTCTCGCCTTCACATACCGACTGTTGACTTTGTCAGGGTCTACATTCTCGACAGAGGAAAGTGGCCTAGTATCACTGGTGTCCAACAGTTTATTTGCATCTCCTTCACCAGAGTCATCTCCGTCTCCTCCTTCTCTTCCATCTTCATCATCACCATCATTATCCAATTCACCATCCGGTTGACAGTTCTCTTGGGCACTCATCAACTCTGCGTAGTGTTTATCCCTCCAGTGTTTATTCAGTGATTTCTTGTGTTTATAACTGGAACCGCACAATCTGCATAAGTAAACTTTGGAACCATCATTTTTCTTTGTCTAAAAATGTAGTAATTGCAAGAAAATTAAAACATTTATTCATCAAGAGCATAATAATATGTGTAAAACATCTAAATCAGTAAATTTAAACTTGAACTGAGTATATTTCAGCTAAAAGTCAACTTTCTGAGAACATTTTAAAACTATTCCCCTGAAACATACTGTGTTCAATAAATGAATACTGGTGTAACGGCATGCAAGTAACCATATTCACGCCGAGGCGTTTAGTAGGAAAAAGATATAGTATGTTCATTGTTGTCAAATAATTGGTCATTTTTATCAAATAAGGCCGCCATAATAGCAAGTAAACCTACTGGAAAAAACTCTTTCTTAGCATTTAAATCACAGATAAGTCACTTTCTTTCTTGATAAAATTTCATTGTGTTTCCAACTAGACGACTGACGATATCGTATGGGATTAGGAATCGACTCAGGTTGAGAATTTTAAACCAATGTATGTTCAGTGTCAAGAAGTTCTAAAACAGAACGAAACAGCTGGTTATTGTTATTTTATCTTCTATGATACTTTGATTCAGGTCAACTTAGAGTCAAAACTATATCCAGACAAAAGAACATTATTATTTGGAGCATTATAAAGTCTTTGATACTTTGTACAATTTTCAGCATAATATTCGAAAAATCACCATTTGATATCAGCCAACTGCAGTGTCGATAACGAGAGTTTCATTCTACTGATAATTCATCAGTCGAATGTACGTTCATACACCAATGGCTTTTCATATCCTCATTCACTATCTAAACCTTAAGGTTTCCTTCGCAATGCCAGAACACCAAACTACTGACATTCAACACACAGCTCTTATACATTAGTTGTCTATATGGTTTATTATATCCTTTTTATTGCAAAATACTAAGGTGACTTGGTTAACATTTCTTGCTACATTAGTGTCTTGTGTATATACCTGGATAATATCATTGATTAGACAATTATTTTATTTCCACAACAGTTCGTAATGAAATTCAGTAAACAGGCTCAACTACGTAAAGTTGGTGGTGAAATCATAAAATGTACAAAGTTGTATCTTAACTTTTACATGGTATCGATGATATACTCAATTCAAACTAACTACATATCTGTCGTGTAAAATTTACTATTTGAGGTTAATTTTAGTTTTGTTTAAAACGTAATTCTGACGTAAGTTATGGGCCGATCGCCGATACAGTCTGTTAAATAAAGATGCAGCAACGATTGAAATAGCCAATTACATTTTTTTCATATCGGTTGGAAGGTAGATTTTAATGAAATAGAGCAGTCTGATTGGTTATTTCAGCTGTTGCTAGGGTGGTCTTTAAAGTCTATTCCAAATTCAATGACCTCAAGGCCACCCTGGCAATAAATATGAAGGAGTGACAGTCAAACGTTTCTGTTTTGCGAAAACCTGCCTTTCCAGAATACTAAAAGCTGATTGGCTATTTCAGCAGTTGCTAGTGTGGTCTTTAGAGTCTCTCAACAAAATTCACGATTCATAATCATATGACATGATTATTGGGCTTGAACATCGTGTCGTAAGTAATAGTGTATCGCTGGGAAAATCGAAACGATCTCAGCGACGACATCCAGTTTCGTTCAGTAGTAACCATCTAGTGTATCACGGTTGATGATACTGTCAGGCTGCCTAGACCTCGGTAAGTTGAGGGGCATTTGATCTTGCAACCCATCGAATAAACTATAATGCAATACCGATTTGAAAGTGACTGACAATAACCATATCAAGAGACTGTACAAGTAAAATGGAGACCTACTTAGTCATTAAATATGATACGCTAGTCAATAGAGTGACAACTCTATTACCCCTGACACACTCTTTTCGACAGAAATTCGGATTCAATGTAAGCTAACTTAACTATAGTTATTTTATCGAATGCTAAGCATCCTCTTTATTCACGTCTCTCTCATTGCACTTCCTCAGGGAGGACAAGAAGGAATTACATCAAATTTTATGCCTGTACAGCTAAATACAAAACATTCCAACGGTATTTTTTTCGGGTAAGCACCTAATGTGGAAAAAATGTTAGGTTAGAACTTTGTAATAGTAAATAAACAACAGTCATTTCGAACTTCCAGCTACTCTTAGTTAGTTTTATTTATATAATTCAAATCGCGATAACAAACCTTATGTTGTAAATGAGTCAACTTTTGCTGAAATGGTAAATCACGAGAATTTCAAACTGTATCGAAAATATTGTTTGGAACAGAGTGATTATTACTACTAATAATAAAAATCATTGTCAAGCTTAATTGATATCAAACAAAATGTCTCAGTGGAAACACCAATACTCACTAGAGTGCAGGTACATCAAGCTGACGAGTCCCAAATAGAACGAAACGCGCGCCTTGGATTCCACTGCTAGCCACAAACGAGTCAATTATAATAGTAAATATTAAGGCAATATGAAAGCATCCTCACATAGGAGATCCTCTGCCAACAGAGGTCAAGCGGTTCGGCCCTGCGTAGCAACGGGAAATTAAAAGTATCAATAAACAACTGATACCTGTTACAGAAGAGGTGGCTGTCGTGCCTCGGTGGCCTAGTGGACAACGCTTTGGTGTTTGAAGGGATGGGTACTCGATTTGAGTATCAGTGGGAATAAGATCACTCAATGGGGTGCAGGTACATCCAGCTGACGAGTCCCAAATAGAACAAAACGCGCATCCTGGATTCCACCACTAGCAACCGCTAAGCAAATTACAAAAACGTCTTACTATTAATCGTATTTAAATATTATTTACATTCTTTCAACTGGGTAAATATTATTTGAGCAACAAGATTGTTGAAAGTGTACACACAGGTTAAAAACACTTCCCCATCATTAGGTAACCATCGTAATAACCTCATTACAATTCGCAGGACATATCAAAATATGTATTTCATCATACCAAGAAGAAAACTTCTAACTATAAAGAACTTTAATTACAGAATTAAAGTTTAGCGGATACATTAGAAGCCTTAAAAAGAATGTACTGCTATGAACACGTCTGATCCGATTAGATGATTTCTTCTATTAATGGCCTTCTGTATCTCTATACAAGAAAGATTGCGATAGATTATATTCGTTCATATAATTCAGTGATGGATTAATATTTGATTTTGACCGATTACTCTGAACTCTTTCTAAGTTTTCTCCTGAAAGGAATTGAAAGTGATATGGCTACTGAGAAGTCTCAAGTCACAACTAAACAAAAGTATGGCTGTCTAGAAGATGTGAGACTACAAACTAATCATTTTCCTATAAATCACTAAATGGAATAGTATATGATATACAAACATGATCATCACCACAAAATATACATATTCGTTCACTAAACAAAACAAAATAAGAACGAAAACTGTTGGTTATACAACCGATTAGTAGGAAATTTATCGATAATCATAGGTCAAGGGTCAACAGTCATTAAAGAAAGAAAACTGTTTTATGTGATTAGATAGCATTTAGTAGATAACATGAAAACATTAAACTGGACAGCGATAAAAACCAAAAGGTTAGAATTTAAGAACATATAACACAAGAAATCTCTGTGATATAAAAGATATAAAAACTGGAGAAATCCAGTATCAAGAGAAATTATACGTGCTAATCGTGAATACTACATATTTCATTATGTCCGTGAAATATCAACACTTATGATATCTAAAAACCGGAAATCAAAATGCACTCAGCAACCTTGCCCATATTCGTGTAGTAGACAACGAGTTACACCTACTATATATGGGGACTATTGATGATACTATCTGACTACCACGGTAGGTGGAGCGGGGCTTGAACCAGTGACCCACTTAGATTAAAAGTCATCTCCTTAAACCAATGTGTCACAGCTTCGCACATTCCCCGTGTACATTCAACTGACTGGTTGGTCAATAATATCTCCGGTTTATAAGAAAAAATACTCTTACATTAATTTATGGACTAGTATGAGGCTCAGTACATCAGGCATACACTGCTACTTGACAAACAAGTTCATGCTTAATTATTGGCCTGCACAGCAGTGTAAACCTTGGTATGTAGAACAATATTCGAATCTGTGACCTGGTGGTTAAGCAACAAATGTTGACCCGCTAAGTCATAGTTTCTGTCATCATAACAACTTATCATTGTATGTTGCAGCACTACGGAATAATCGATATTTAAAACAAAAGGTATTCACGAAACAGATAACTGAATAACATACACTATAATGATAGGAAATGGCATTATCTAGTACATAAGTTATAGCATTCATTCATGGTGTTGACAGTAAATGTGTAGATGTCGAGATTTATCATTAAATTTGGAAAATGTCGCTCAGGATCGAGGTGCAGGCTTACGCACTGGACCATGAGCTGCATCCACTGAAACAGGACTGATGATACTACATGACTGCCGATAATGAGATTGGATTGAAACTCACAACCCGCTAAGAATTGTTCTTATTGCATTATTCAAATTCATCTAAGGGACTTGATGTGCGACAATTTTTAATAAGCTGGGGCTTATCATAAAATATGTGAGTATTTCGAAGAAATACCATTTAAACTCAGCCTAAATGTATGAAACTTCTGTCATCATGAGAAATATTCGAATTTCGAGAAAATTTCGGTGTCATTCTCTAAGCTAAGTGATTTAATGAAAAGTCGTGACTGGTGAGCCAAATCAAGTCGGATGTGAGGATAAATACTCAACGATGGCGTTGGATGAAGGTAGCACTATATTGCGCATTGAAATAAGTAGGAGAATGCCGACGACCCAGTAGCTCAATAGTAACGTGTTCACCACGAAACCTGAAAGTCCTGGATTGCATTACTGGTGGGGTCATGAGTACGCACTGCTGAGGAATCCCATAGTAGGATGAAACCGGGTTTTGAATGATCTTCCAACTTATGTCAGTTCATGATGAATGCTAAAGTGAAATCAAGAAACCCTCACAACCCTCTATATCAAACTAAATAATTTACTTATGAAGCCTTCATGAACATTTTAGGTGTTATCAGTAAAAGTTTCAGGAGGAAGTGACTTGTAAAAACTTATCAACAAGTGCCTCTAAACTTAGTTTTGATGAGACAGGGTATAAATACTGTCTGTGGTTGTTCTGTCTGTACTTTAATATGAGTCAGTCACTCAATCAGCTTCAACGTTGGACCCAGCATTACTGAGTTACGGTTTAGTACATAGGAGAAGGATAGACAGTAGCAACTGAAACTAAAAATACTTAAAATACAAAAACTGCTCTAACTAAGCTAATTCTGAAAATTAAATGGAGTATTGAATAAAGATTCATATGATATTGCTCGAATTTTGAATACTGAAAAATACGATTTTGTCGACCTAAAGAACAATACCAGTGAAGTATTACTAATACTCGAAACAAATAACCGGATGAAATCGACGTAAAATAGCAGAAAATAAACATTAAAAAACTGGAAAGTCACTCAGCAAAATTGAAAATACGAAGTTTCAAGTAGATGTTGCAGTGAAACACTCTTTCATCATCATTATCACCATCAAGACTAACATAGGACCAGGCATTACTGTGTAGCGGTTCAAGTTACCACACCTCATACCAGCATATCAAGTAACAAAGCAATAGAAGATTAAGAAAGAAAGAAAGCTGGTCAAAAGAAGTAGAAAGTAGTAAAATAGAAGGAGGAATGAGAAAATGATGAGATTAAGTATAGAGGTTAGGATAAGCATAATGTGTGCATACATCTGGCCACTGATATCGCTTCTCAGCCGCATCACCTAGAGTCTGCAATCACTGGTTTCTCTTTCCCCCCCAGACCCCAAGCAGATATTCTGCATCGACTTACACGCCTCAAACGAACAGTCAAGGATTTCATGCATTGATGCCATTTTTTAGTCTGGCCATCCCGAGCCTTTTTCCAGCCTGAAACTAATTCGGCTAACATTGTGCGACAAGGCAGACGGTGGCTAGACAAACGTGACACATGCCCCAGACATCTCAGTCGATAAAAGTTCACAACCGCACCAACTGGCTTACCTACTGTCTCTAAAACCCTACGGCTGACTTCTGCGTTACTCACGTTGTGACACGACGTATGCTATGAAGGCAGCGGTGATCGAACACCTGAAGCCTCATGTCTTCTACCTTTAATGGCTGTTTCACAGGCATACCGTAGAACAGAACGAACTGCAGCGCACGGCCAGGTCTGAAGCCTGCCAGTTACCACTTTAGTTAACTTGACTGAAAACATTACCACCGTCCTCAGGAACTAGTCCGTCTGATCCTGCTGCCCTTTCCCGTTTCAAGCTACCTACCTTTTTCTCGACTTTTCTTTCACAAACGACTCTACTGCCTCACAAGTAGGTATTTTTTGGATTTTTTAAATTTCCATATCAGGGGGAGCGGACAGGATCATCACATATGTAGTCCATAGACTAGTGCATAAATCTGCTGAATTCTGCCGAATGCTGATTCACTTTTAAATCTGGATACAAGTCAGATGATATCAAGAAATACTATCAAAAATTTATTGGAAAAACTATTTATTCTTCGTTCAAACTGTTTTTAATTAGTGGTGTGGGAAGAGTGACTTTAAAGGCCACCCAGGTAACTGTCGAAATAACCAATCAGGTTTCGATATATCGCCCAAGATGAGACTTTTCATAAAATAAAGAAGCCTAACCGGCCATCTTTGCAGTTTTTAGGATGGCCTTCAATATCACTCTAAGAATCACTTAAAGGTTTAAAATTTCACCGATTTCTGCCTAAATAGCAGACTTTTCTAAATTTTCATCTGGTTACTTACTGATAAAGCAAAAACTGGAGTGATTACAACATAAATCTACTATACATGAGAACTACAAATTCACATACCTCAAAAAATTTCCATGATTCCACTGGTCTGCGAACGTGATAGCGGAAGCCTCCGCTGTAGACATTTGAGTTCACCTGACTAGTAGCTTGAAACATTGACTTAGGCGGTGACGTCGACTGTAATCCGTAAGTAATATTGATTGTGGAGGGGAACACTGAACTGGCGGCAGAGTGATCTTTCTGTCCTCGAGGAGAAAGAGTAGGGCAATCCTTTCTTATCAGTGAACTCTCAGCACCAGAGTAATGGTCGACGTCATACTTCAGAGTAGGACAAAGGACATCATCTCCATTATTTCGATATTGTTTTTCACTTAGAGGATTTCTTCGCACTAATTCAGAAGTCATTTTAAAGTATATATCCACCGTCCCAAGCAGTGACCCAGTAGATTAAAATTTCAATTCGATAATCCTAAACACGAAGTCGTATTTTATAAGTTGACCCGGAAAAGAAGAAAAGTCGTCTCGTGTTAGACCGTATGGGACACAATGCATGAATCAGTCAATGAATGGTTGAATGAGTGGTCTGAACCAACGAGTAAAGCAGCTGATTCATCATTCGACCTATCTATAATTTTCTATGATTTCCTAGCTCTCTCCACCCTGTCCTTACTGTTCTCAATGGTCTTATGAGATCTGCTCACATTTGGGATAGGTGGTAGAAAGTCATGAGGCATATTCACACAAATCCGTACATAGTAGTAGAAACACACCTACGCACGAAAGTTTAACGCAGTAGTCACAAAGGCTATACTAACAGACAATAGCCTATTTACGCATTGATCATGATGAAGACATGTGTGTGTGTTGATTTCAATCTACCAATGAGATGCTGAACTAAGAGAGAAATCTCCATTCCATTTTTTTTATCGCTTTTGTTTCTCTAGCCTTTGATAGGTTTGAGATGCTCTATGAAATGACAAAATATATTCTGAATTACATAGTATGGGTAGTCCATTACTGCAACAAATGTGTGGCATCGATAGTTTTACATCTTATATCCAAGCTTTGAACTCCTGAGCTATGGGGATACATTGATTTTCACTACGATAAGAGGAACATTTTCAAACTTTATAGGCTTGTGATTTACCGACCTGAAAAACTAGGTTTCCACAGCTTTATGTGAATAATTAGTAGATTACATGGGATATGGAAACAAAACAGTAGATAGTGTTCGGTGGTTTTGTTTGAATAGTACTATCTGTTGGGAAATATCCCGAAAAGTATATGAGGTAAAAATAGTTTCGAAAATCACTGTGATTCGACAGATTCTAAGCCATAGTTTACCGTCTAAGCTACAAGATCATGTCACGCTTTAGCATCTCAATCATCCTATAGAAATGTGCAGATCGATGAAGTCAGTTGAAGGACGTTCATATACACCCTGCAGCTACCTGTTTAGGAGAAATGTACTAAATGATAGAAAAGATTTGTCGCTCAGGATGAGGATGACGGTGGTTTGCAGTTCTCTGAATATGTCAATAAGCCTAGTGATGAAACATTCACGACAAAATATCGAAGCTCAGAGAACACCAAACCACCATCAGAACTCTACTACTTTTTGGCTTGGTAAGGTGGCCTACATCTCATGCAGAATACACCCACCTAATGCATTGTATACTCTGTAAACAAAGATGATTATGATCAAGTACAACAAGCTATTTTGAACAGTCCATATTGACTGATGGATGACACATACTTCATCTTACAGTTATCCCTTGTTTCCTCCAAAGTAAGTTTAACTCTGGATGTGCTTCAAAATAACATGCATAACTGACTAGCTTTTGCTAGGCTTTTGGTTCGTCTAATCTTCAAATTTTGTAACAACTCAAACTAGTGGCCTCTGCTACCCACGCTTTCATTTCTAAGCATCACTCTGTATCATAATTACCAGTCTATCAAACTAAACCTAACTCAGATAGTCTCACCGATTCACAGCAATTGTTAGTCATAAAAAGTTCAAACGCTACCCCACCAAAAGTAGAGATAAGTTCACATCTTTATTACCCTGTAAAAGTTCTCTAAACTCTAAAAGTGTATACCAGATAGTATAGTATTGTAACAGACACTAATTCCTAACTGATAAAAATACTGCGTGACCTACAAGTTAATTAACTACAAAAATGTATCTTAAAAAATCTTAAACCCATAAACGTGGGGTTGGGGAGATGACTTTCAGTCAAATGGGTTGCGGGTTCGAACATACCCCCACCTACTGAGGTTTGGGCAGCCAGATAGCATCATCAATAGCCCTCACATAGTAGGTGTAATTCATTCCCTACTACACAAATATCCATAAGGTTGCTAAGTGTAAATACTTTCACCGTACATAAACTGCATCCTATTTTCGTAATTCTGAATTTCCTTCTTCAAAATGTGACAAAACTACTGCCGTTTATTCCAATCCTGTACACGTTTATTTTATTTAAAAACATATGTTTTTATCAAAGCACATCTTAAAACCTGTTGCTCACAGTCATTATTCACTTCTTGAACTTCAACAAAGAGCGGTACATCTAACACAAGATACGACAATGAAAGTCAAGTGGATTCTGTTCCGAGTTGATAACAAAACTTTGCCTGTTTTCTGACAGCACCACCTTATTAAATGGTGCATGATAAATTTGATTTATCAACATTGATGCGAAATCAGTGTGTGTACAGTTTCAACTAATAACAAAGTCTGTCTAGTATATTTTTCGTACAACAATCTTTCTGAGTTTTGATTTAGTCACTGAATATATTTCACTGTAATTTCATAAATGCTCAGTGTTGCTACTTGTATGAAACTACAAAGAGCAGTGTCTGTATCCTCTTAGATTCTAATATCATCCTAGTCAGTTGGTATTCATCATGGACTGATATTCTTTGGAAAAACATCGAAAACCGAGGAGCTCTGGAGAGCTACTTTGTCCTAGTACGGGACTCTTCAGTAGTGCGCACCCATGAACCCATCAGGGGTCGACCCCAGGACCTTTAGATCCCGCAGCGACCACGTTGCCGTTGAGCCACTGGGTCGGAATACAATGGTCCCCATTTCTTTACTCCTTTTAATTTGTGTTATAGTGCGACGTATTCGCATCAGACTCCAGAGAGGACTATTTCCAACCCTTTAAATTGTAGTATCATTCTAGTCAGTTTTATTTACTTTTTAAACGCTGTATACTCTTAGTAATGAACGCTATGAGTCCGGAAAATCACTCATGTTGATATTTCAGATTTTGTTAGCTAGGAAAGAAAGAAGTAAACCCTGAAAGGTGGCTGGGGGACGAACTCATCACAATTTACTAGTTCATAACACTTTGAAGTCAAATCTAACAATCTTTATCTCGAAGAGCGATTTATACAGAAAACCCCTATTGATACTGTTGTAGAATAGTTGAAGAACTACTCATTTGTAAAAAATGATAAAGTAAACGTTGAAATTTGTAAATAATTTTTAAATTAGTCATCACTACCTTCACATCTGAGTTAAAATATTGTTGGCGGCCTGCTTAAACATTGGTTTAGCAAAAAAATTTTCTATCGAGTATATTTCATCAAATTCTTCCCTTGCTTTTTGTTTTAATCTTTAAAACATGTTTGCTTAATGTATCACGTACTCTCGCAACTTTTTAACTTTCGTTCCTCAAACTAAGAATGAAACAAAGAAACGTTACGCCGAATGGAAATGGACAGATAGATTCTCAAAAACACAGCTCAATACTGTTCCTAGGATACCTATATTGAATCGCACATATTTGTACTGGCTGACTGAACTACCGCCACCATAATTACACTCTATTTTTCATTTATCCCCAAGTCCAGAGGAGACGCTAATGTAACACCAGCTTTCCGTTTCACGTTAGTGCCTTCAGTTACCGTTATTATTAACACTATTCAGATGGAATAATTATTTCTTTTAAAAATAAAGTACATACAGAGTATTTGTTGAAATATTACATTCTGAAAATCCCATAACGTATCTCATAGACCGTCGGTTTACTATGAGTGATACAAGGGTAAATGGAAGACCCTTTGCTAAATTCAGTTAGACATATTTCATATGTCTGCTGTTATCGTGAATGCATGATTAACATTCAAACTAAATGTAATAATATTGAGCTCAGTATTTTTCTGTAGCTATTACCGAAGAGTAAAACACCTCACCAAGACGCAAAAAGATTAGCACATAGGCGTAAAAATTCAATTTGTAATTACAAACAAAATACTTTTTGGATATAATATAACAGATTCTTATTATGTCGGTTGAAATGCTGATTTTCAGGTCTTTATTCGACCCCTATGTTTTAACTAAGCCTTCAAAAATGAATATTTACTTGAGCCAAAACTACCTAAGATTCATCAGCACTAAACATCAACTTAACAAAAGCTATACAACACTTATCCAGTAGTAAACGATTCTTTCATTAAGGTCAGTTAGGTACTGACAATATTTCATGTAGTGATTCTTGTTTTGCAACATAATAAATTGTAAATGGTCTTCCTTTTTATCAGTACGCCTAATTAACTTCTCACTCTGTTAGACAAATATGCTCTTGATGTAACAGTTCTCAAACATCTGATCTTGTCGACAGATGGAATATGTATTACGTGAGTAATCAGTCAGCATAAACGTGGAATTTGGAAACACTAAACAAAGGTTCAAGTTGCCATACCTCACACTAAGATACAAGGCACAAAGATAAAAGACAGAACAGACGTCATAGAAAATCATAAAAAGATGATGAAATGTAATATGGCAACTAGGATGAAGTTAACGTTTGGCTGGATCTGCCCCAATGTGACAGATTTTCAGCAATATTATCTAGGGACTCCAAACGTTGGTCTCCATTATCACGCGGACTCCAACCGGGGAGTCTAAATTTTCCGGCTTAGCTCAGACCAACGGGCAAAAGCTTCACGCACTGATGCCATGTCTTGGCTTGATCACCTCTAACCTTTTTCTAGCCTGAACCTATTCAAAAGGTTATTTTGCGAAAGAGTGAGTGGTGACGAGGAATGCATCATATATGTCCCAGCCATCTAAGTTGGTGAAGGTTCACAAGCTCACCAACTAATTTTCGCCCTTTACATAAAACTCTATACTTGACATCTGTACTACTAAGATAGTGGTCGCACTACACGTTGCCTATGCTATGAAAGCAATAGCAGTCGGACACGTGAAACCCTCTCACTTCCTTTACCTTCCATGGTTATGTTTTGCAGTCATCTACGGAGAGAACTGCTGCGCAGTACATTCAACCTTTGACATGCAGTCGGATATCACAGTGGGAGTATACGTGGTGTAAGTTGGTCAAAGTCAAGCAAGCCATTTTGTGTCCCTGCAGAAATTTGTCTGTCACTGACCCACCAGCGCTGATCAGACTTCCCAGGTAACTGCAGTGGTCAGCGCGCCTATCCATTTCACTTTCTATTGTTAAACAGGTCACCAATGCGGACTACTACTGACGCAAACATTTGCTTTTTAGTTGTGGAAAACGCCTCATAGACATTCTTAAGTTGTCACTAAAGGTGCTCAGAAGACTGCATTTCACCAACGTCTTCGCCAAACAGAACAGTTTTATCTTCATATTCCAGATGTGGTACTGATTCTTTTGTGATAAGATCAGTCACTATAAAGTCAGATGGCAAAAGGGAGACCTCCATCGTACTTCTCTGATGAAGCTGAATAAGAATGGTGAGAAAGAGAGAGAGAGAGAGAGAGAGAGAGAGAATGAATATCCTTGAGGGACACCACTTG